TATGTAGGGTGCATATTATATAGGCATATATATATATTATATTGTGTTGTGTTGTGTTGTGTTGTGTTGTGTTGTGTTGTGTTGTGTTGTGTTGTGTTGTGTTGTGTTGTGTTGTGTTGTGTTGTGTTGTGTTGTGTTGTGTTGTGTTGTGTTGTGTTGTGTTGTGTTGTGTTGTGTTGTGTTGTGTTGTGTTGTGTTGTGTTGTGTTGTGTTGTGTTGTGTTGTGTTGTGTTGTGTTGTGTTGTGTTGTGTTGTGTTGTGTTGTGTTGTGTTGTGTTGTGTTGTGTTGTGTTGTATTATTATTAGTTATGTGGATATATATGTATTTAATTATATGGGTTAATCATCATTATTGGTTATGTGTGCATTTATATATATATATATATATATATATATATATATTAGTATTATATTATATCATGACTTTTATATATATATATATATATATATATATATATATTATGAAATTGTTACATATTATAAACAAAAATATGCATTATATATATGGTTTTATATGGTTGCGTGTGTGTGGTATTTATTATAAGCATATAAATAGATATCACATATGTGAATGTGTTTATATTATATACGTATAAATATATATTATAAATAATTAAATTGAACATATATACAAAAAATATTAATGGACTTTACAAGGGACCAATTCCTATCAATTTCATTAACAAGTTCATTTGTTACAAACAGGTTGGAGACCCAACAACAGCCAAGGCCCTAGTTATCAGCAGCCCAACAGTTAAGGTTTGGAGGAAACCCTAGTTTCCCTCTCTTGTCCGGCGCCACAAAAGCTCACAACCGTGAGATCTGGATCCTCAGATCAGGGGTCAATTTAGGGTTTGTTTTCCCTAGAACATTCATGTCGCCGCCAACGCGTTACAACCATTTGATCCAATCGATGATCCAACGATTCAGATTCAGACGGGGAACATCAACCATCCAGATTTGCGCGTTGGATGCATTTACGCGTTGTATGCATGTGCGCCTCTCTAAATCCTTCACGCACCTGATCATTGTACCTACAGCAGCACTCGTTTGTCTCCCTACCACATTCCCTCGACAATTGCAGAGGACAGGGGAGTCGTGCAGCCACAAGACTCCAAGAGGACGAGCAAATCCTCTCTCAGCCCTTGATTCGTCCATGCCATCTAGATCAACGGGAAAAGGTGCAACCTTTCCCCCTCCTCTCACATGCAAGCAAAATCGAAGAAATATCGGAAAAAAGAAGAAGAATGGATATAAACGACAAAAACCAAAACCAAAATGGGACAACCTTTCTCTCATCAGCAACAGCAAAAAAAAGGGCTAAAATACGAGGGGGTTCCTTTTTATGAGTGAGCTAAATACCCAAAAATCGAGATAAAAACGGTAAAGAAGAAAGATCTTATCTTCTCCGTCAGAAAAGGAGTGCTGTCACCATCTCCCGGAGTCAAAACCCCCCTAAGTTGAAGGTAATCCGTCTCTTGGGTTTTATTTGGGGAGTTTTGATGGGTGTCTTGTCAGGTTTGGGTTAGATTTGATGTTTGGGAAGTCGGATGGGAGCGGTTTAGGAGAGCTTTGGTCCCTCACCGAAGCCCTTGAGCGGCGGCGGCTATGGTAGCTGTTGGTTTAAGGGAAGAAAATAAAAGAAAAAAAGAGAGAGAATGGAGGGTAAGTTTAGAGAAAATGGCGGGTTAGAGAGAAAAAAAGGGATAGCTAATACAAATGGGGCTAGGGTTTAGTTTTTGCCCAATATATATATATATACTTACTAGAACGGCGTCGTTTGGGAGGTCTAGGGTCATCTGTTTCACGCATGGTTTATTTGTTGTATGGGCCACATACGTTTTCGCTTTAGTTTATTTTAGTCCTTAAATTGAGGCTTTTCAAATTTCTAATTTTGTCTTTATATTACATGCGCTTTTCATTTTGGTCCTTGAGCTCATTTTTTTAAGTTTATGCGTGATTATACATTTGGCATGTACTTTTCTGAATTTTATTTCATACTATTCATGTTTCTGGCATGTCATCCCTCGAACTTTCATTTTAGGTGCGTATGGGTTTATTTTAATTGTGGTACCTTGGATATATGGCTTTTCGTGTTTTATGGCCTATGTTTGTTTAACCTGATGATTAAGTCCTTAAGCTTGCTCTTTTTAAATTTTGTCAGATGCTCATTAAACCCATTTAATTTTTTTTATTTCCATTTTTGTACCCAAACTATTATGATGTGCTTTTGTTTAGTCTAAATAAAAATAGAGAAAATAACCTCAGTGACCAAAAATCCTAGATAATATACGATTTTGACCAATTTTTTTTGGATTTGCGAAAATGACCAACAAAATCGCAATGCGATCTCTAATTCGCATTGCGATCTCCACTATCGCAAATTCGTGATGCATTTCGCGTTGCAATAGTTGAAAATCGCGTTTCGATTTTCCATTTCGCGTTGCGATTTTCCATTTCGCGTTGCAATAGTCGAAAATCGCAACGCGATTTTCCATTTTCGCGTTGCGATAGTTGAAAATCGCGTTGCGCTTTTCCATTTCGCGTTGCGATAGTTGAAAATCGCGTTGCGATTTTCCATTTCGCGTTGCGATTTTCCATTTCGCGTTGCGATAGTTGAAAATCGCGTTGCGCTTTTCCATTTCGCGTTGCGATAGTTGAAAATCGCGTTGCGATTTTCCATTTCGCGTTGCGATAGTCTACAGTTGTCGTTGCAATTTTCCAAATTCGTTGTGATAGTTTAAAAAAAGATTTTGTTTCTTAATAATTTTCTCTAAAAAGATAGTATCCGCGCGGACGTGTCGAAGAAACGTATTACCACGACCACGACCACGAGACGAGACGAGACGAGACGAGACGTACGGCGGCGGCGGCGCGCGAGAGTCCTCCTTGTTCTCTATCACTCAACAAGGAAGTGGGAAAGCCAAGCCTTAAATACCATTCTCAATAGTGTTTCCAATACTATGTGGGATTAAGCATTACCAACACTTGTTTCCAATACAATGTGATTATTCAGGAAACAATTAACAATCATGCACCTTAAAACAACTAAATCAGCAACTAATTGCATTAGTATTATACAATTAAATATGTCATAATTAAAAGTCAATCTACAATCAATCGCGATTATTGCAATTTTTAGCAAAACATTCAAAAATAATATCACTATTTAAGGCTCAATCCCACATAGTATTGGGAACAAGTGTTGGTAATGCTCAAATCCCACATAATATTGGAAACACTATTGGAAATGGTATTTAAGGCTTGGCTTTCCCACTTTCTTGTTGAGTGATAGAGAACAAGGGAGACTCTCGCGCGCCGCCGCCGCCGCCGTCCGTCTCGGGTCGGGTCGTGGTCGTGGTCGTGGTAATACGTGTCTTCGACACGTCCGCGCGAATATTATCTTTTTAGAGAAAATTCTTAAGAAACAAAATCTTTTTTTTAACTATCACAACGAATTTTCGCAACGAATTTGGAAAATCGCAACAACAACTGTAGACTATCGCAACGACAACTGTAGATTATCGCAACGAATTTGGAAAATCGCAACGACAATTGTAGACTATCGCAACGCGAAATGAAAAATCGCAACACGATTTTCAACTATCGCAACGCGAAATGAAAAATCGCAACGCGATTTTCAATTATCGCAACGCGAATTTGCGATAGTGGAGATCGCAATGCGAATTAGAGATCGCATTGCGATTTTATTGGTCATTTTCGTAAATTCAAAAAAAGTTGGTCAAATCGTATATTATCTGGGATTTTTGGTCACTGAGGTTATTTTCTCATAAAAATATTACTAATCACTTTAATATGCATGTAGATGGACAATTTATGGAACACATAGCATCATTTTGGCATGATATCTATGACACCCTTATAAATATATCTCGAGTCGATTCAAATAATTGAATTCCCTCATAAGTATAACTCAATTCGATTCAAATAATTGAATTAAGGGTAATATCATTTCATTTTAGAATTGTTGTGAAGTGATTGTCTTAAAGTATAAGAAAGTTACTTCCGATTATTTTAAAATGAAAGTATATCTCATTAAGTGAAACCCTAAAAAATTGACTACACTTAAAATTTGGGAACGAGAGAATAAGGAATGTCCGTCAATTTAAATTCTTCGAGGAAAGATCATTATAACTTATAAAATGTCTGATCTCGACGTCTTTAAATAATCGAATATACTTCTTCTTTCTAAAAGGATTGGTAATTTTTAATTTATTTTATTTTATTATCATTCATGCATTTAAATTAATAATGAATTATAGAATGAAATAGTAATATTTCTTTATTTCGATTGGAGTTAGAATTGATTGCTTTAGGGCAATAAGATGTCTTTTCTTCTCGATAAGAAAAAAATATATATTGTCATTTTAGTCCTAATATTCAAAGAATATAATTTGAAGGGATCTTAAATTAAATAAAATTTGAACTTGTAAAACTCGTTGCAAAAATAATTAATTAATCGACTAGGTACCGAATAGGGCGTTGTGGGGTATTAATCCTTCCTCGCGCGTAATCGACTCCCAAACTCGATTTTTGGTTCGCAGACCTTAAAATGTTATTTTAATCATTTTTAAATTTAAATTTTATTAAAATTACAACATTTTGAATATCCAATCACACCCTAATCAAATATTGATGGCGACTCCTCGAACCATTTTTTAACTTTAATAAGAAAACACCAAATTAATCGATACGAAAATTTTTTAAATCACTTAATTAAAAATTAAATTTATTTTTTTATGAAATCGTTTCCACAAGTCGAATGATTGTTTCGTAAATTTAATAATTGAGAGTCTCAATAAAACAATAACCTATAATGGGAGAATACCATTTGTGTACTTAATTAAATTTTACTTTTTTTCTTTAAGAAAACAATAATAATTAAACCCTTGGGAATTTAATTCAATTTCTCAAACCAACCCAATGTGTCTAAATGGGGTCTAAACGCCATAAATGTAAATAACTAAATCGATAACTAGTAAACTACGTGCACTATATAAAATTGAGGCGGAGGCAGATCCCATTGCTTGCAACTAACACAACCAGAAGGGGGAAAAAAGGAGGTTAATAGTCACGCTGCCAAGCTTCAGGTAACTGCCTAGACAACGGCCCTTGCGAAGCACTTAAAACCATATCCCGGAGATATTGCCGCTGCTGTTCCATTGCCATTGCTGCATGAGAATTGTAAATACCAGGGTATCCCAGAGCTCCATGAAGCTGCTGCTGGGAGTTTTGCTGACCCTGTTGATATCCCACGAGCTGGTGATTCCGCCCATGTAAACTGTAGTTAGCGTTATCCAGCATAGTTGATATGGTTCTTGAACCATGTCCATAGCCATCATTCTGGTAATGCACAAATGATATATAAAGAGAAAGAAACAGTTAAATGTCTATGCTCTAAGCAGTAGCGTAATGTGTCAAATCATCAAATATGCATTTTATTGTTATTACCTGGTAAGGTAGGTTGAAATTAGCTCCACCATTGCTGTACTGAGAGCGTAAAAAATCATCGTAAGCAAGTTTGCTGCCTGCCGAACCAGCCAATAGATTGTGAAGAGAACTTCTGGGAGAATTGGAAGGATTTTCTAAACTTCGATAAACATTTGCGTAAGAACTCGACCAAGGCAAGCTGCTGCTCATACTAGCACTTCCATAGTGTTGGAGATCGTACTTTCTATCTGTATGAGATTCACGGAACACATTGCCATCTGGAAATGCTTGTCGCAAAGCAGATGGTGTATATGTATGGCCTTGAGGTGCAGCGGGGTAGCCACTTTGAGCATAAGCATGTGCATACAAATGCTCCTTGTGTACGGGTCCCGTGGCGGGGTTGGCACTATGAAGGACCTGTGATGAAGGCTGAGATATAAGAAAGGCTCCAAAATTCAAAACTGAATCATCAGACCAGTTTAAATAAGTAATTTCTTAAATCAATATCCAAAACCGATCATTGAGCCGAATTAACAGTCTAAGCGAATAAGCTAACCTAATAAACCAAAAACTGAAAAACCCAAAAAAATCAGTTCAATCGGTTCAGTTTAACTGACTTTTTGCTCACCCTGATTGCCTCACCAAAAAAAAAACGTCCGCAAACACCAAGCACACCTTCACAATACTGATTTAACCTAACTTGAAAATTTTGAGCCACCTAGGAGAAGAGATTCTTGATTTCATACCTGAGACATGGATACAATTGGATTCTTAATCGATGATGCAGAACCAATGTATCTAGATGAAATTGACGGTGATGTAAGAAATGCAGCAGAATCTCTTGCTTCTGTAGACCGAATAGCAGCTGCCAATATATCGCTTGGCATAGAGTTTGAGTGTGATTGCTAACGCCCAAAGTAACAAGATCAGTGCAAAACTCCAAAAAATAATAACAATTAAAAATAGATAAATTGAACATGCAAGTATGAACACAACGGGAAAAAACTACTGTAAGAATGTAGCGAGCATTTAAGAGAATACGACATGCTGAGCATTGCCCAGGTAACCAACATTAATCAAGATCCCTTCTTCTGTGAATAAAAAGCTCAATTCCATCATGGAGAATTTTTTATGGGGAGGAGGAATGGGAAAAAATAAGGTTCATTGGGTTAATTGGTTGACAGTGTGCAAAGCCAAAGAGAATGGGGGACTCGGTATGCTGGACCTCAATTTTATGAATAGAGCTCTTCTTGGAAAATGGTCTTGGAGGTTCGCCAATGATAAAGAAACCGATTGGTGGAAGATGATTTGCAGTAAGTACTCTATTGACAAGAATTTGTTGTCGTTCAACAGTAAGATTCGGACACAAGCTTCTTGGCTTTGGAAATCGGTGGTGAAAAATCATTTTAAAGAAGATTCTTTTGGGTCCAAGTTTCGCAGCTTGTTTAATTTACATGTTGGAAATGGAAGTTCATTCGGTTTTGGCAAGACATATGGGCGTTGGAATCTTCTCTCAAAGATGCATTCCCTAGACTTTTTGTCCTTTCCACAAATCAGAATGGTAAGTTAATAGAATTTGGTGAAATCCGTAATGAAGGTTGGGTTTGGAATATAGAGATGAGAAGAAATTTAAGCGATTGGGAATTGGATCAGTGGATAGAATTGTTGACAATCATTAATAGAACTACTCTTTCGGAAATTTCGAGTGATGGTTTGATTTGGAAAGGTAATGGGGAGGGTATTTATACCGTCAGCTCTTGTGTGAAGCATTGTTCTTTTAGCTCGGAAGCAGATCCCTTTTGGAAGAGTATACTTTGGAGGGGGCTGGTGCCTCCTAGGGTGGAGACTTTTTTGTGGCACGTTCATCAGAAATTGGCTGTAAAGACAGAATTATCGAAGTGGGGGGTTCAAGGAATAGTGGATGTTTCTTGTCCATTATGTAAGCAAGTGTTGGAATCTTCAACTCACATTTTCTTCTCCTGTTCAGTTTCGTGGAATCTGTGGAATCGGTTTCTCAATATGTGGAATATTTCTTCTATTTTTCACGAAAATGCTAAAATGTTTCTTTTAGCTTGGGAAAATTTGGTGTCTCATTCCACAATTTGGTCCTTCATTCCGGGTGCTATTCTTTGAACAATTTGGAAATTTAGAAATGCTATTGTTTTTGATGGGGGATGTTAGATCAGAATGAATTATTTTTCACTGCTAGGTTCAGGCTAGCTTCTTGGTTCTTAGCAAAGAATAATGATGTTTCTATTTCCAAAGACCTTCTCATTTGTGATCCTTCTCTAAGGGATGTCTACTCGAATTCTAAAAATCTGTTAGCTGAACAGATTCCTTGGTCCCCTCCTCCCAAAGGTTTTCTTAAGCTAAATGTGGATGCAGCCGTCAGTAGTGATTGGAAGACTAGTGGTCTGGGCGGGATTTTGAGAGATGAAGTTGGTTCGGTGCTTGGCTCTTTCCAAGAAGCAGCTGGTCCGGGTCCTCCTTCCTTAATGGAGCTCAAGGCAATCAAGCAGGGTTTAATCTTCTATAATTCCTTTCGATGATGCTATAAGGAACGGTTAATTATTGAAAGTGATAGCAAGTTGTCTGTGGAGTGGGTTAAGAATATAGATAAATGTCCAGTGCTGTTTGTTACTATTGTTAAGGATGTTGTTGATAGGTTAAGAGTTCAGTTGTAAGGGGGGGTTATTCTTGGAACTAGTCTACTCTTTGTAATACTTTTTAATCAATAATATTTGAGGCACTCTTTTCTTCCTTCCGCTGATTAAGGAATTCCACTAGGCGTTCCGTTAATCATGAAGGGGGTTTTTAACGAGGCCTCCTCTTCTTATCAAAAAAAAAAATTAAGCAAGGTAACTGATGAAAAACAATTATTAGGATATCTTAACATATAAATGCCTGTAAATATTTTAATGAATGAGAGATAATAGCTCTGCGACAGCACGCACTAGAAATAATTCCTTGTTTTTTTATTTCATAAAAGTCCACCTTTACCATAGCAGAAAATGAGACAGTTCTGTCAGGATATCATAAATGCAACAAGGAAAAAGTATTTACCGGCAAAGTAGGAAGATTCCTAGCATTTGGATCAATCACAAAAGACGAGGAAGATTGTTTGACGTTCTTGAAACTTGACCCGGGTATAGATGCACGGGAGACATAATCATTCCCAACTGTTGCTGCATCAGGAATATCTAGTTTCCTAAGCTCCGACTGTGAAAACTTATGCGACGTATAGTTCCTAGCATCTCCAGTAGCTCTATTACTCTCAAAATCAAATTCAAGATGCTCTTTATCATGATATAGCATATTCCTGCAAAGAAAGACAGTCAAATATCATGAACTACAATGAAGAAAGAAGCCAAAACCGGAACTCATTAAGGATATACATACCTAGAGTTCATATGCATAGAAGTTGAACAATCATTTGATGTCATCAAGGTCTCTTCTAAGTTATTTGTCAAGGAACTAGATGTTTGTGGCTGGGGCAATGCTGTACTCTTTCCAGATTTGTAGGTACCAAAGCTCAAATGTGAGCAATCAGCAGAAAGGGTTTGAAAATAATCTGGAAGCACCACTCCATAGTTATTCTCTTTAGGAGTCGCCGCTCCCTCTTCCTTCACTAAGCTTAGATGTTGTAAGTTCACAGCAACTGATAATGCAGCTTTGATGGCATCATCAGATAAAGGTGCAGAAGGGTTTGGAGCAGATGCATTAGAGCCTCTACCTACTACTGAGATTAGATACCGGAGGGTCAAAATCAAAGATACATATCCAACAATAATTCTTTTGCTTCATTGCATGCATAAAATAAAAACAATATAACCAGCTGTTCATAAAGGCACTTCTCATTCAACCATTCAATAACACGCCTAAAGAAGTACAGAATCAATACATAAGTAATTTCTACCATAGAATATAAATAACAGTTTTTGGACTCTCCATAGATGTCACAAAGAACATTAGAACATTAGGAGCCTTTATTTCCCCATCTTCTCCCAACCCTTTTCTGTACATTAAAAAATCAAGGAGTTGACGAAACAAGACCGCACCATGTTTCATGTTTTCATCTACAAAATACCAAACAAGACTGTTAATTAACAACCTAGTCCTACCACTTCCGTTTTTCTGTATCTGTCACAAGCTAATACATTCTACATATGATTTTACAGGCTAAGGTTTAGGACACAGAGCATATAACTAGACTATCATCTTCTGGTCTGAACTAAATAGGTTCTACTAAGCAGTGCACGTTTTAAAATGTTCTAAAATGGAAAACAGAATAATAGCAGACATAAAAACCGTTGCAATACTAAGAAAAAGAAGATCTTTGAGAAATTCTGTAAGGATAACTCTGTTCTTCACTCTAATGTGAAGATATATATACATTATAGATAGCTATAGCCATCAAAAGTACAAAACTTGGGTCAGATAAACCCATGATTATTATATAGAATCCATCTCTTGCACATGTTACAAAAATCAGACATAGTTTAATTAAAAAACAAATAAAGAAAATAAAAATCCTGTAAAATCAAACTTGGGACCTAAAATTTTTACCTTCTAGACATTCATAGATCTGCCCATAAGAATCAGGTGAACTTGTATCCTTACGCAGGTCGTCATCATATTCAGATGTTTCTCCAGAATCACTTCTAATTATTTGTTTGTTAGATGCTTGCGCTGAACTGACATGATTAGGGCTAAGATTCTTTCTGCCAACATTGCTCTCTGATACTAGAATACTATCTGACCAGCAGTTACTTGACAAGTTAGCTTTGTTAATACGTACGTAGGATTGATTTGAATACATCGTACCACCAATATCACCAGAACCTATCATTGGCCCATTCACAGCCCATTCATTGTCAAAACCACGCTGATTGGATTTCTTTCCAGATTCAGAAGTCATGTTCAAATCCGAAGAATGCAAATCTTGGTCTGTTCCTAATTTTGAATCTGAAGTAGCAAGGGATGGCTTCATTTGGTCGATGGTTGAGTTTGGTGGAACAGCATCTTGAGGGGAATAAGTGGTCTCACATGGAATTTGTAAGCCTTTGCTCTTTGGTCCACCCATTCTTACAGTATCAGCCATAGCAACATGTTCTAAGGCGTCCCCCACCCAAGAAGACTGTGATCCATAAGATGGTTGCATAGATGAATCAATCATATCACCTGTTCCTATTAATTGTCTTCTATAATCAGCGTCAAAAGAATTGCTGCAGAAGAATATAATATGCTCAAAATGAAGAGTAATCATTTCATCAGGTAGCAAACTAAACGAAATTACACATAACACATCAATTCATCAAATGAGAAAGCATATCAAATAAAAATAATAATAATAAATAGGTATCATGCATCATAAAGATTAGTGCCAAGAATGCATCAACAGTACATACCATATATGACGAAAGAAACTGAAAAAATTGTGCACATAAAAATATTGATAAGCCAGAGCAATGTATATTCATTTAAGACTTAAGAACCAGACAAGGGCATATGATAAGAAACAATTTTACATCATTATAGAACCAACCTTTGTGGGGAAAGTTGCTCATTCAAAGTTTGTCCTGTTGAATGTAATTTTGAAGAAGCAGAATATGACATATAAGCAACTGAGCCATTCTCTTTCTTGTATGCAGCATTACCAAGCTCTGCCACAAGGAATAGAGTGAGATTTTAATAACCAAGTTTGACACTAGTGTCAACAATGCAGACATTTTCCAAGGACCATACCATTGAAGCTGTTTAGTGTCGATCCACTCTGTCCGAAAGAATGTTCACTACCATCTCGCACACCACGATTAGATGCACGACTGTTAGCTCGAGTTTTTAGTTCTTGTGTCTCTTTCATCTGATGACATATCAAGCGATAAAAATCATATTTCAAAATGAGAAATATAAAAGAATAAATCCTGAAATTACACATGAATTTGGATCAAACGATCAAAGTGATACATAAATTTTGATCTGGTGAAATTATATGAATGGAACTATAATTTTAATTCAATTTCCAGAAACCAATAACACCATTATTGAAGGGACACCGTTTTACTTATTGCATACACAAACAATTATATTTATTCGACATGAAAATAACTGGAATCATATAATTGAATCAAAACAAAATTTCATGCGTACAATTGAATCAAAAGTAAAGCTTCATAAATATAGTAGCACCAAACCAGAGTAAACTTATCACATTAATAGTTGAATCAAAGATAATGCATAATTTAGAGATATTTCGCAAAAGGATAAAAAGGAAAATTTAATTTAATAATGGAGAAAAAGACTAAGTACATTTTAAAAAAGAATAATACCTCTTTTCTTCTTTCCCGTTTGCTTTTTACCTCATGAAAAGTATCTACAAAATCGAAATTTGTTAATTTATAAAAATCTTTTAAATTTTGAAAACAGCGCGAAACATTGTCAAAGCCTTGTTTGACATTGTTCTTCCATCAGACTTGAAAGAACGTGAACCCCACGAAGCACAGAGTTTAAGGATTCCAATGACTTCAGTTACAAAATTCTCAGTTATTTGACTGCCAAAAATGAATCATGCAGAAAATAGTTAAAACCCTAGCCGTTAAAGAGCAACATGTGTAATGATATCGCTAGCTTTTATTTCTAAGCAGATTTGAAGCTTTTCAATTCGAAGAACTCGAACAGCAAGAAATTATTAATTTTTAAGCTACCAGCTATTATTTGGAGCAGAAATCAAATATAAAAGAACTAAAAAATTCTCCCCAACAAATTACAGAAACCATATCAGAGGAAGACAAATAACTTGTGCATTATATTTTCTCATTTTTTTTGAGCAAACAAACACAGTAGCGTAAAATTAGCAAAAACAGATAGAAGAAATGTTTTTATCATCGATAACAGAAAAGAAGAAAAAGAAACAGTGAAAACCTTGAGAGAGGAGGCGTTGAACGGCATCGTTAGGGTCCATATTACAGTCTCTAAGGACGGCGTAGATCTCCGAGTCCGTGCAGCTATTATTAACAATCTCTTTAATATTCTGCACCACATTCTTCACCGATGCCGGTATCTGTACTCCGCCGCCGCCGGCACTTCCTTTGGTCATGCTATCACTCCCCATCGCTATCACTCTATCAGCGGCTTATCAGATTAATCAAATAAACAAACAACCAAACAAAGTTCTTTTTCCCCCTTTTCTGGGTGAGTTTTTGGTTCTGAGTCACAGAAAGTTGCAGTTTTTTTCTAAATTAAAAAATAATAATAATATGAGTACTGCTTTTGAGTGCTGAAGCAATAACTTACAAGAAAACGAAACCCTTCAAATTTGTTCTGTGTAGGGTAAAAATTATAAATTAGTTGGATTCAAATAAATTTTCACATCTATATTTAAATAAACTCTATGATAAATTTTCTATTATTATTAAATTATTATTATGATAAAACTAAATTATTATTGGATTCTTATTATTAATTAGTTTATATAATTTTAAAAATAATTATAATACGTTGATTGATTAAGAAATCAATAACCGTAGAGGATAGTACAAGGTGGAAGAATGATTGCGAGGACCATACTTGTATTTTTAATTTTCATTGGCTCAATACGTGTAATGTCTTTATAGGTGTCAGTAAGGAGTTATCATGTCATTAGTATTAATGTGGCGTTATAGAGTGTGAGAGCTTAGACGTGACTATTGATAATGTTATAAGGGTATACTCACAAGGATGTTAGGTTATTGATACGTGATTATTTGTAGTGTGCGCTATATGTTTTTGAGAGTTTAGATAAATCTTACATTTGTGTTCTCGAAGATTCGAACGTGAACATATAGTAACATAATAATATAATTATATAGTCCTTATATAAAATAATTGTACATCATTTAAAATTAAAATAAAATAATTACAAATTACTTACAATATTAATTAATTTGTATTTAAATCTTTTATCATTTTTTCACTCACATCATGGCATATAATATTATAAAATAAAGTTTAAGATAAAAAGAAGTTTATTAAAAATCAAGATTTATCGGCAATAAATTGTGTTCTCATAAGTATTTCAATCTAAATTTAAGATGATAATAAGTTTGAATATTCATGGATTTTGTAATATTTAAATATGTAAAAGATTTGAAAACGCTAAATATTAGTATATGATAAGTAAAAAGATATTAATATTTACCAACATGGGTTTGTTTAAGTGGTAAGGAGCTTAAATCGATTAAGGTCTCGAGTTCGAGTCCTTGTGTATACAGAAAATCCTTGCTGGGAGACTCACACATCAAAGCTAGGTGTGCGATGCAGGTCTCGGTCCGGATTAGTCAAAGCAAAGCTTCTGAACCGGGAGAGAAATAAAATATTAATATTAAAATTAAGATTTAAAATGTAAAGAGCGTGATGATATATGGATCTTAAAATTAGATAAAAGATAGTGTTGGGATTTCGATGAAGCTCAAGTGAACAACTGAATAATAGTCAAGAGGGGTTGAATTGGTTTTTGAGTTTAGGGAGTAAGGAGCTTAAAAAGATAGACAATTGACACAATGATTTATAGTGGTTCGACTTTTCAACTAAGTCTACATCCACTACCTTAGCTCCTCACTAAGGATTTTTTAATAAATTCACTAATTTGTTCTTTCTTTTTACATGATCAAGAGATAACCTTTACACTCCCTAGCTTTTCACATGCTTAGCTAGAAACAATCCCCTTTTACAAAAGGAATAAAATGTAAACAAAAAAACTTCTCTAAGGTAGGTGTTTACAAGAAAATTAAACTCACAAGAACAAAACCTAAGGATATACAATTAAGCTCAAACACAAATATTTACAAGAGAAAGAAAAATAAATATTGAAAAAACTTTTCTCTTGTGTATGAATGCTTGGATAGGTGTTGGTAACCTTCTTCAAGTGTCCTCAACTTGTTTTTATATGTTGGAATGAACTTGTGGTCATTTCTAGTCGTTGGGGATTAATATTTTGCAAAATAAAACAACACAGTACAGGGAGTATCGATACTCCTTTAATGAGTATCGGTACTACCTTTATAATTTTTAAATCAACTAGTCGTTACTAGTCATTGGGCTTGACCAGTATCGATATTATGCTCATGGTATCGATACTACTGTGTAAAGTAGTATCGGTACTCCTTTGAGTATCTGTACCTATCTTGCATTCTGGAATTTGAGCAATTTGAAAAATGCATGGTAGTATCGATACTACCTAAAGAGTATCGATACTTCTCTTACCTTTGGTATTGGTATCACATGAACATTATCAATATTGTTTATGATGTATCGATACTGTAAGAATAGTATTCGGTACTACGTACCTAGAAAATCATTTTGTGCTCAAATTCTATTTTAATGGGCTTTGAATTATTTTTGAAAACTTTGATCAAATTCAATCAAGTCCAAAAACATTTTGCCTTAATTTGTTATATCAAAATATTATAAAACATGATTCAACAATCTTCCCCTTTTGATATAACAAAACATTTGAAAAGTTATTTTTGTGGCAAAACTCCCATTAATAAAAACATTTCATGCAAAAGATAAATATTTGGAAAATATTAAAGCTCCACATTTTTCATTGAGAAATTGAATTTTTCTTTGAAAAATTGTTTTTTTGACAAAACTTCCGCTTAATAAAAACATTTCATGAAAAAGAGAAATATTTGGAAAATATTAAAACTCCCTTTTTCATTGAGAATTTGATTTTTTTTTCAAACCTATATTTCTCCCCCTTTTTGTTATATCAAAAATAATTCAAATTTAAAGTTTAAAAATAACAATGGAGAGTAAGCAGTAAATTTGTCATAAAAATCATTTGAAAAATCAAAGATCCCCCTCAATAAATGCATTCCAAACAAAAATTTGACTTTAAAAGCTTGCGACTTTAAAAAAATTGAATTTCAACAAAGATAAAACAAACATGTTAGTAGCACAAGAAATTCAATATATCAAAGTCTAAAATACTTTATGCAATACCAATTGTTGAATTTAAGTGCATGTGCATAAAGCTATCCAAAAAAAATGTTATGTATTTGAAAAATTGATATCAATTGTTAGAGAGATATCATTTGCAATGAGTCACATGCATAAACATTTAAATTAAGGTCAAAAATTAAATTTTATAAAAACAAAACATTAAAACCAATTTTGACTAAAATTCGTTATGATAAACTAAAAATTATGAAAAATCATTAAAACTTTAAAATGTCCATCATAATACACTTTTCAACATACATGAGATTAAATTATTTAAAACCAAAACTCATGCATGTTTAAACTAAATGAGCAACCAATTATGCAAGATATCAAAATAAGATTAGATTTTACCCATTTCTTTTCAAGTGTGGCTAGAGCATTTGAATATATTCACTTTCATCACCATTGCTCCACACCTACAAGAGATATTCATTTGGATTTTGGTATCCAAATTGCTTTAGATCCTTGAACGTTAGTTTCAATGCCCCTTGTTCCCTTTGGAACTCATACTTGTTTGATTTTAAAACGTTTTTGTTGAAAAAATTTTGATGTTTCGATATAACAAATTAAGAAGTGTAATTGAATTTTAAGATTTTATGATCATTTTAAAAGTATATTCGATTAAATTATTCGAATATCAAAATATTACTCCAAGTTTTTCAAAGATCAATTTCAATCCTTACTAAAGTGTAAAATTGTGCTTTAAACTTAAAATATTTTTGAAACAATTTTTACAAAGTATTTCGAACCAAAATCGAGCCAAAAATCAAGTTTATAAAGGGATTTACCGATTCACTCCTTGATGTATCGATGCACACCCTAATTCGAATGCATTTTGTGTACCGATGCACAGCCATGCATCGATGCACTCCTGATTTTAATAAAACATCGGATGCATTTTATGTACCGATGCACAGACCATGCATCGATACACTCCTAGCTCTTTTGAAACATCGAATGTAATTAGTGTACCGATGCACCCAAGGTGTATCGATGCACTAGGTCAACTAACGGTCGAAATATTTGAATTTTTACACATAGTGTACCGATGCACCCACGCTCCCACCAGATTTTTAAATGATAATTACTCAATAACAACTCTATTGACTTCACCAATGATCCCCAACATTTAGAAGTGATTCAAGGTGTATTTAAACAAGCTTAGGAGTCATTGATTAACAACAACTAAGAAGAGAAGCTAGAGAATCAAAGAGAAAGCCTTGAACTTATAATTTGAGCTTTTTCAAGCCCATTTTCATTCAATATTCATTTTTCTTTCAAGAACACCATTTGTGCTCAATTCTATTCATTCTTGAGTGTTCTTTCTTGTTCTAGAATTGTGCAAACATCTTGCCTTGTGAGATTTTTCTGTAAGTTTGTGAAATTTGTATTCTTCTCTTTGGGAGAGAGTGTTCTCAAGAATTTGGGGTATAATTCTTGAGGGAGTTGTAAGGTTACACTTTATCCTCAAAAGAAAGAACAATTTAGTGAATTTGTTGGAAAATCCTTAGTGTGGATAGCTAAGGTAATGGACGTAGACTTTGGTTGAGAAAGTCGAACCACTCTAAATCGCTGTGCAATTATTTTTAATTTTCTACAAAAGCTTCCACCAAAATTTTTATTAGCAATTCACCCCCTCTTGGCTATTTCGTTTATTAATTAACTCAACAATTGGTATCAGAGCCTCACTCATTTGAAGGTTTAACCACCTCTTGAGTCGATTCGGGAAGAGTTAAATCGATAAAGATGGCATCAACCTTCGGTTCATTCTCCATGGAGGAATCCAGACCAATTGACGTACCTCCTTACTTCAATGGAACAAATTATCGTCGTTGGAAGAGGTTCATGATGATATTTATCCAAGCACATGATATGGAAGCTTGGATGATAATCAAGAAAGGATATTATTCTCCTACAAAGAAGGCAAAGAAGTGGAGTGATCAAGAACGGAAGAAATCTCAACAAAACACAAAGGCTATGCACATGCTATGTTGTGCAATTGATCCAGAAATCTACAAAGGATTTTCTTCTTGTTCAAATGCCAAAGAGTTGTGGGATAAGATTGAGAAAATCTATAGAGACGAGAAAGAAAGAAATTTGCGTTCTTTTAATGAGTTACAAGATGCTTATGATGAATTATTTTCGGAGTTTGAGACCATGAACTCCAAATATAAGAAATTGATTTCTAAATTTATAGCTAAAAATGATCTTCTTTTGAAAGCTAA